ACTTGCGCCCAGCGTTTTCCCACAGTTTTCCCACAGTTGAAACGCAATTTGTTTGTTGTTGTTGTTGTTGTTGCTGTTGCTGTTGTTGTTGTTGTTGTTGGTGGTGGTGGTGGTGGTGGTGGTGGTGGTGTGGCTGTTGTGGTTGTTGTGGTTGTTGTGGTGTTGTGGTTGTGTGGTTGGTGCTGCTGCTGCTGCTGCTGCTGCTGCTGCTGCTGCTGCCGCTGCCGGGGGGGTTCTCCGACTCTTGATCCGCTGAGGGGACACGCCTCAGGCGTCTTGGGGGTGTAACTAAGCATAGCTAATCCTCCTACCAGCACAGACACCCCCTCCCCCCTTGCCCTCTCCAACTCCCTCCTCCTCCCCCCCCCTCCTCCCTTGCACCTTTCCCTCATCCGCTCCTTTTTTCTCCTCCTCCTGCACAAGCAAGTCGGAGTTGTGTCACAGTGCTGCTCCCGAAAAGCCGAGGAGGGCGGCATTGTGTTGAAGTTCATTGGCCGGCCGGCCAAAAATGGATAGTTGGTGTGGTTTCGGGGGAAGGACCGTGTCCCCAATCATGCAGTCTGCTGGCCTCCAAACCTTGCAACCGAAGCTCATAATTGGCCTGCACAGTGCTCCTGCAGTGGGAAGTTGTTGGTCTGATGCCCATTGCTAAAACCTGGACCCTAAATCCTAAACCCTGGACAGTATCCCTAACCCACGATGCAAACCGGAAGCCCGAGACCCCTGAACCTGCAACTACTGAAGCCTTCCACCCGAGGCCCCTTCAGACCTCATGTCGGAGCCCTAATGATTAGAATAGGGGTTTGGGTATATTATACCATTTTTGCCACAAGGAACCCCCAAAATGTTATAGGTAATTATTTAGGCCCCTACATTCGGGCATGGCGAAGGTCTAAACCGCTCATATTCTTGACAGCAATACCCTCAGAACCCTGATTCCCAGGGCCCGTTTTCAGTGAGATTTCTTCAAAGTCCTTAGTTGCTGCCAGGTTACCGCAGGCACTCCACTGGTAGAAGTGGTGCTGGAAGCTTCGTCGGCTGTGGTGGTGGTGCTGGAAGCTTCGTCGGCGGTGGTGGTGCTGGAAGCTTCTTCGGTGGTTGTGGTGCTGGAAGCTTCGTCGGCGGTGGTGGTGGTAGTGGTGGTGGTGGTGGTAGTGGTGGTGGTGGTGGTCGTCGTTTCACGCCCCGACCCTCTGCCCTCGGTAGTGGTTGTGGTTGTAGTGGTGGTTGTGGTGGTAGTGGTGGTTGGGGAATCGCGTCCTTCTGTCGTGGTCGTGGTGGTAGTCTCAGCCAGGGCGGAGCCAAATGCACAGAAAACACAAAACTCAAGACCTTTGGCCAGGATCCCAGTACTCCAAAACCCCAGTCTCGCAAACGCCATGGAAATAGGAAGCCAAAGTTGAGGTGTATTTTGCGTCATACCTAGGACGATTAGTGCTGGGATTCCCTTTTCGTTACCTTAGGGGCATGAGGATCACGCAGTTCCAACTTTCTGGGTTCTACTGTAAACCCTGAGCCCTGAACCCCCTAAACTGTATATTAGAGAGTCAGGGCCCGGGCTCGAAATGGGTTGGCCTAAGGCTCAGAGGCTTCCTTTAGCGTCTTTTTTTAGGGTTTAGGGTTTAGGGTTGGTTTGGGGGTTTAGGGTTTAGGGTTTTTTTTTGGGTTTTGAATCCTGACATGAAAACTGAAATACTCCGCAGCCGGAGTAGCTGTGGTGGTCGTGGTCGTGGTCGTGGTGGTGGTCGGAACACCCTCGGATATGGGAGTTTCCGAAAATAAGGGCTACCCTATTTGGGGTTCTTGTAATGAGGATCCTACTATTTAGGGTACTATATTATATATTAGGGTCCCCAATGTTCGGAAAGCCCCCCTATTGAACGAAGGTTTCATGGCTCACGCGTTCGCCGAACCACATGCCTCCGGCATCCTCTAGTCGAGTCTTGTGGGGCGCCGTAGCCCTAAACCCTAAACCCTAAACCCTTAATCCTAATCCTAAACCCTAAACCCTAAACCCCAGATCCTAAACCCTAAACCCAAAGTACTTGCATTAAAAAGCAATATAGGACTCAAGTACCGAGGTGGGCTCTCATCTTCAGAGTCCACGCCCATGAGACTCACTCGTCAACCCACCGGGGCTTTAGGTTGGAGGCAATGTGATGAAGCCATGGAAGAGGCTGCGACCAACTGTTTTCCCACTTCTTCGAGGCTTTCGCCTTAAGCTTGGGACTAAGTGACTAAGCCCTAAACGCTGATCGCTTGGGACTTTTGGTTCGGGGCCGGCTGGATTCAGGGAGGTTGTCAACGGATGCCTCGCTCGAAAGCCACGATGCACTGATTTGCAAAATCCGGGCGACATTTCTAGGCTCTGGACCCTGATGGGCCCTGATATGGATCCAAAACCTGGAGACGCCTCAAGCGGAAATTTTCCGAAAGGAAACAACAACTGGCCAAGTGCGGGGCTCCCGACAGAGGTGGAGGGTTGCAGGTGATGTTTGTCTTCGGGACTTGCCTTCACCTCTCCTCTGACTCCCCAAGACCGCGGCAACCAAGCCCATCTCCCATGAAAGGGCTCAACTACCCTAAACCCTAAACCTTAATCCCTAAACCCCAAACTACCCTAAACCCAAAGCCTTAAACACTAAATCCTAAACCCCAAACCCCTACATTAAGCCGAACTCTCCAACATCGTCAAACCCTCATCCCGGAAGCTCCCAAAAGCCACAGCCGAGGTACGATGATAGCCTCGGCTTCGAAAAAGATGGTTGGTTACCGTTCAGCGACTGAGGGTTTATAGGGCTTATAGGGTTTACAGTTCAGGGAGTTCAGGGTTCAGGCGGCTTGCGATTTGGAGGATTGGGGTTGACCATTTTGGGTTTAGGGTTGAGGGTTCAGGGTTTAGGGTTAGCGTTTCAGGGGTTTGTGATTTAGAAGATGAGGGTTGAGGATTCTCCGCGTGAAGAGACGGTGGTCGTGTCGAATAACAGTCATTGGAATTGATCCTAAGCAAGAATCTGGGTTTAGGGTTTAGCACCACACCCAGAAACCCTAGCCATTTAGGGTTTAAAACCTGGTTTAGCACCCCTCCATTCTGTGTCTTCTGAGGCTAGGGTCAGGCAACCCTCGGGTTTAGGGTTTAGGGTTTTGCCTACATGAAGTCCCAGGCCTCATAATCAGAGTTCCTACCACTGGATCCGGCAGAAAACGGGACCTTACAAAGTGAAAGGCGTAAGCCTCAATCGACCAGTGTGCCGGGAATTATTTGGCCAAGATTGTCGAACAGTCTTGCAATCTTGGTCTCGCCGACGAGTTTACCTTTTGGACCAAGATTGCAAGACGAGGGGAGCAAGATTACCAAGCAATCTTGCAACTCCCAAAAGTGAAACTAGTTCGCGAGCAACGGGGGAGGGGGGGCAAGGTTGCAAGCAATCTTGTAACCTTGGCCTCCAAAGCGTGAACTAGTCGGTGGCGCAGGGGCAAGATGACCAAGATTGCTTGGCAATCTTGCCCCCCACCCCGCCTGACCACGATTGCAAGATTTTGGAAAAAAATACAGGAGACCCTAAACCCCAAACATCAGATTGTAGGGCCGAAGAGACCCTAAACCCTAAACCCTTACAGCCGAGCTTGAACAGCTGGGAGTCGAAAACGACCGACAGCCGAGGCCCCTACAGCGCGCTGCTGCTGCACCGTCTCCTCGCGTGTAGTGATGGTCCTGGGCGGCCCTAGGTTGAGGGTTTAGGGTTGAGGGTTTAGGGTTGAGGGTTTAGGGTTTAGGGTTTAGGGTTTAGGGTCCGAAACCACTGGTTGGCACTCCCAAAAAGGTCCCTGTATTGTTTTCCTGCACTGTACGGACACCCGAATCTTCTCCAGCAAAAGGCTCACTTTGGTCCCTGTGGAAACTTCATATAAGACCCTATAGATCCTCATGAAGATCCCATAAATGTTGCCACAAAGCCCTATTGAAAAAAAACATAAAAAGACAAAATAACAACTTTAGAAAAACCGCTGAGAGCCCCATGCAAGCCCTACTGAAATCCTGCCATACCCTTCCTAAGCCCTAAACCCTAAACCCTAGCAAGAAAAATCATAGCACCGGCTGAAAGGACGCCGCGCGGCTTCGTCGACGAGGCCACTCCAACACCGGCCTCTGAAGTCGACGCTGTCTTGGGGCGTTACGATATATATATATATATATATATATATATAGCTGGCTTGGGGCGTAGGGTTCAGGGTTTAGTGTTCACGGTTTGGGGTTTAGGGTCGCGAGGGTTTAGGGCTTAGGGTTCAGGGTTTAGGGTTTGGGAACTAGGGTTTAGGGCTTATGGTTTAGAGTTCTGGGTTTAGGGTTACCTACCTACCTGCGTACTACCTACATGTAGACGCGCGTCCATATGCACGTAGATATGCGTATATCACTAGAGTTATTAAAGCTGTACATACATAAACGTGTATATATATATATATATATATGTATATATATATATAGAGAGAGATACTCATATCTATATATATATATATATACACATACATGTATATATACACACATATATATATATATACACATGTATACATACATATATATATATATATATGTATGGAAGGATGTATACATGTGTATCTGTATACATAACATATGCAAAGAGAGACAGGAGAAGTGTACTCCAAGAGGCTCCCACAAGAATTCACATCCCGCGCAACACTCAGCAATATTCCACGACGTGAGACCCCCGAATCCCTACCCGAGCAATACTAGCTGCCAGCAGTCACCGACAAACAAACGGCAACAAGCATAGAACATGTTTTTGGTCATGTTCGTAAGCTATTGCTTGGAGTAACAGGAAGCGCGCAACACGCACAACCCCACGGAGCGGACCACCTTGGCGTCCACTTTACCGACATTGCTCAAGGCACTCGAGATTCCAGCACTTCCGCTCTTGACCTCGGATTGGGCAAGCCAACGGATGTTTACACACGTGCTTCTGGCTTGGAACTTGGGATTTGGGGTGATCGAGCTTTTGGGGCCTGAAGCAGTACTAGAGGGGCCTTATTAATTAGAATAGGATTTGGGGGTATATTATACTATGACTATAACCATAATAAGGAACCCCAGAATAGTATTGGTAATCATTTGAGCCCCTATATTAGACGACGTGACACTAGGGCGTTGGGGATCTGCATACTTCGCTACATATGTAGGAAACCCGATTAATAATGTTCAGGCCCCTGGTAAGGCTGAGGCTTTCATTCTGGTTGCAGACCCGAATCTCGACCCCAAAGACCCCTAAAGTCTAAAGCTGGATACCTACCGCAAGACCCAGAAAGGGCCAATCTCCAGGCAATGAGATTTGTCCTTACTACGGTGATTGTGTTTGTTCTCATGTCAGTACTGCCGATAGTGTGGTCATGCTTGGCGACGCTGCCGTTATCGTTACCACTGCTCCTTGCACTAAATACCAGTACCACTGCCACCGCCACGACCACGTCTAACTACTGCTACTACTACTGCTACTGCTTTACTACTACGGCCTCTGCTAATAGTACTACTCTTCCTCCTCCTGCTGCCGCTACTAAATTACAAAAACTACTCTCCTTCTTCTGGTCCTTGTCCTGTCCTACTCCTACTCTTACTCCTCCCGCTGCCTGCTACCCGCTACCCGCAACCTGCTACTGCTGCTGCTGTCTGCACGACAGTACCATCATCAAAAAATAGTACAGTTCTTAATTTCACATGGGTAGTTGTCAAAATTA